CACACACACACACACACACACACACACACACACACACACACCACGGCAATACCCCAAATTTGCCAACAAGTCGAGATTAGACACAAGATTGTATTTACCTGGGCTGGTTAGTCCGATGATAATACCTCAAGGCCATCGCCCTTTCAAAACAAAAAAAAAAACGAATACGGTCTCCCAGAATCTAACACGTCATCACCACGGCAATAATAAGACGTCACCACAAATTGTAAGAAGAAGGCAACTGAGCTTTCAGCTACACCAACATGCCAGTAGCAGGGAAGAGCGTAGCCAATCGACCCGTCGTCCCAAACTGTTGTCACAGCGCCATCATGTCGTGACTCGCGCAATGGAACTTTCAGCAACACCAACACTCCGGTAGCAGGGAAGAGCGTATCCAATCGATCCGTCATCCCAACTGTTGTCACAGCGCCTTCATGTCGTGACTCATGCAATGACGGAAGCCAAGCAGTGCGATTAGCATCCTCCGCACAGAAAGGTTCCATGTGTGAGCGTATTCACGAAGGTGAATAGACTATTGTCCAGAAGTCCCATATCTGAATCAGGGGGCAAAGCCCCTGACCGGTTACAATTTCTGATTTCATGCGGCACCCAGATCCTGCCCTCTGACTGACCCCACTTGCAAACACTCCACACTCAGTCAATCAGGATTGCCGACCGGAGTCAACCAAGACCAGGCTATGGCGGGTGCATGGCAATGCACCCTTGCAGCAATCTCCACCTAGCGCCCTACACGCTCAGCACCCCATCGCCGCCGCCACCCCAGCAACAGGCTCTAGCACAGCGCAACCACGCACGCGACTGCGCCTCCGCGATCCCCGGTTGCCCAAACGCCGCTGGGGCAACGTGTTAGCGCTGCAATAACGCAGCGCTAACAGCGCCGCCGACTCCACCTGAGGCGAAAGTTGTTCAGTTTATTTTTCTGCATAACGTAGTTTTTTTTTTCAGAGTTTTAGAATTTTTTTTTTTTTTTTTTTTTTTGGCTGGGACCTTCCCTGGTCCTTGCATGGTCGGGCGCCTGGGAAAACAGGGTGACCCGGCGGCCCAGCCGGTAGCCTAGATCATTATAGTATTACGGGGAAACCCGTAGCTGCCGGGCCAAGTTTACGCCTCCAACGAGGGAACAGGCGGGGCCTGCACCCGGCATGCAGGTGGGCAACACTGGCCAGGGGTCAGCTGGTAGCATCAGGACCGAGCTTCTTCGTTGGGCCAATCGCTGTGCCTCCCCTCTAGTCCCCTCCCCCTACGAACATCAGCAGTCTTTGCTCTATGCCGCTCAGGGGAACCAATGGCGTATCTCTAGGTGGTGTGTGCCAAGCTTTCCCAGGAAGGTACACGAGGACAATGGGGATTGAACCCAAGACCTCCCCGACATAAGGCCACTTGCGTGCCTTACCAACTGAGCTAGGCTGCTGAACGGCAAATTTATCTAAGCCTTGGGAAAAACATGAGACCAATGGGGGTTGAACCCAAGACCTCCCTGACATGAGGCCACTTGCGTGCCTTACCAACTGAGCTAGGCCGCTGAACAGCAAATTTATCAAAGCCTTGGGCACTGGGTGCCGAGGCGGAATAGAACTGCGCGCCAAGCTTTGCCAAGCAAGCACCGGTGCTTTTTTTTTTTTTTTTTTTTTGGCTGGTTCAGCCAGTCATTTTGGTCTGCAGGCGCCCAGGGCTCCAAAGTATGCAGTATAGATTATATTTTCGTTTTGAGTTTGCCTGTGAAAGGTACTAGGTCGGTAGTGAAAGAAAGAATCTGATATGTTCCATGACATGGCAGAACGCAAGTTAAGAAAATATGTGAGGTGAGAGAAAAATATATGGCTGTCCCCCGATGAGGAGAAGTCAGTTTTTTCTTCATTTAAAAAAAAAAAAAAAAAAAAAAAAGGCTCTTCCCATAAATGGACCCATACTTGGCCTCAGATGTCCCTTGCGCGAGAGTACTGAACCTTTTTTCTTTTTTTTTTTCCAATTGAGCATCAAGTGTGTTGGTGAATTTCACGTAAGGATGATGCAGCTCAATCAACATCATGCTTCATTGCCTAATAACCTGCCCTGCTCTTCAGTTGGGAGTTTATCAGCGGAGTGGCAGATCGATCACCTGCCCAACTACGTCGATCACAGAGACCTCAAGAAGTGAAGTAAGGTACACCATCCTCGTCTCACACGAATGGTTGACCACTGGAAGGCTGGCCAGAAAACTGTGAACGTCTCCGTCTTCTGTGCTCACTGTCAATACCTGCGCATGAAAGCACAAACATTTCAACAGGAAAAAAAAAAAAAGAGGGGAAACAATCCAAGATCCAGGGCAATCAGCAGGAAACCATAGTTGTAATTGGACTAGAAATTGAAGTTCTGTTTAAAAAAAAAAAAAAAAAAAAAAAAAGGGCCTCGGAGTACGAGGTCGGCTGAGAAGAGCAGCTTCCCTGGTAATGCCCCGCCGGATGCTCCAGTCTCTTGGTGGGGAGCAGCACCTGTTGGAAACCGGGTCCAGCGTCCCATGATAGATGATAATTAATCATTATTGACAATGTCTGAATGCGTTTGAAAGACAAAACCGTGTCTGACAGTCAGGGCCCCTGCCCATCCTACTGAAATGCTCTAAGAGTTTGTGAACCCACTGGCAAAGAGGATTGAAAGAAGTGTCTGAATCAGGACATGTTCCACGCAGAGGTGCAGAAAAGTAGATCAATCACAAATTTCCGCACCTGTCCACAAACGCGTCCACTTTCAGACACTTACAACAATCCTCTTTGCCAGTGGGATCTCGCCTTAGGAGTAGTGGACCAGTGGTAGGTAGGTAGTGAAGGTGAATTGAAGGAATTT